TAAAAATATAAAACCCCAGTAAACTCATTTTTCCCACAGGATAATAAGAAATAAATCTTATCTGACCTGGAAATATATGGCTGATTGCCATAATTCTGGACTCTGAGCTAAGTGAAGAGGAAAACAGTAGATTTGACGTTAGTTACTTCACTCTAGCTTAAAAGTTGCCACAGTCCTGGAGCAAAATTGGACCCCCACACATACCCAGATCCCCAGCATTTAAAGTGCTGATATGAAATTTTAGAGCAGATGACCTAACAGGGACTTTGGTGTAGATTTATTTAGTGGCTTATAGGAAAAATTGTAGGATTCTGTTGACAAGCTCTTTCCTTCCAGGAGGTGCAGCCATGAAGGCCGGTGTGAAAGAGGGTGACCGGATCATCAAAGTGAGTAAATCTGACTCCTCCATCCCAGAGTGATAGTAGGTACAGGGACTGACCTTCACCCAATGCTATAAAAGTCACAGGTACAGGGGCACCTACTTGCATTTCAGTACTGACTCCGACAGCCACCAAGTCTAGGTGATACCATGACAGGAAGCATAGTAGTCTATTTAGAGAGAAGAGGCTGAAGTTAGCTCACTTCCATGTTCTAGGCCCTTCGAGTTAACTGACCCTGAAGCAACCAAGCTTCTAGAATAGGTTTTATTTACTGACAAAAAATAAGGCTAAGAGGGAGCATATATGGCTAGTTGAGGACCCAAGACTTCAAATTCTTTCCTTCATAGCCTGTTTTCTATGCAGTGTTGACCTGAGATCTTTGCCTATTCTAAATTACTGTAATCTTCCCTGGACATTCAGGTCTATCTATACAGAATAGAGTCCTACTACATTAAAGAAATCCTGGCTACAGAGACCCTTCATTCAGTAGTAAGGAAGTAAAGCCCATAGAGCCATTTGATACACACATGTGTGAATCAACATGAATAGATACAGACATAGGTCTTATCCCTGAAAATTTACAAGCTGTCTTGGAGCAAATCATAAAGTAAATTTGAGTAAATAAGGAACCAGAGGTACCTAAAGAGCATTGGGAAATGACTTCCTGAAGAAGTGGCATTTTAGACTTAGGACAAAACTCCTAGGTTTCCGTCACTGTTACTCAATGTTATTTGTTCCTCTAACAGGTTAATGGCACCATGGTGACGAACAGCTCACACTTGGAGGTGGTGAAGCTTATCAAATGTGAGTGGGTGATGCGGAACAACTAAAGAAAGTAGAGGACAGATGGACTAAGAGGGAGGGAAGAATATGTTTACTGACCCGAGAGGCTTCATTTGTAGCTGCTGAGGCAGCTGAAATCATATCATTAGTCTCAACATGGAGTGAGCCACTTAAACTGCCACAAAACTCTAGTATGATGTCACATAGAGACACTATTAGTAGTCTCTCGTCGTGTGCGTGTGTGTGTGTGTATGTGTGTGTGTGGCTTTGGTTTTTGGAGACAGGGTCTTTCTATAGCCCCAGCTGACCTGGAGTTAGACCAGGCTGGCCTTAGTCTCACAGAGATCCATCTGCCTCTGCCGTTCAAGTGCTGGAATTAAAGGCATGCACCACTATGCCTAGTCCCGATATCTTTATTTTTAGCACAGCAATCTTTGCCATTCCTGATCATATCCACTGAGACTACATAACTTAAAATGTCATTTTGTCCCATTCACATTCTTCCTCAACAGCTTCCTATGGAGGCAGCGAAGGGCCAGGAATACCCAACAAGTGAGTCTGTATAGATAATCAAATAGAAGCAACAAGCATTGAGGAAATAATTAAAGAAGGTAGAAAGTCTGGGGAGAGTGAAAGGCTAGGATTTGAGTACCTGCTTTCTACCAACCAAGCAGTCAGCATGCTGGGATTGACATTGGCTTCTTAGTTCAGTGAGATATAGGAAGGAAGCTGGAGGACTAGAGAGTTTGCTCATCAGTTAAGAGCTCTTCCTGCTCTTGCAGAGGACCCAAGTTCAGTTCCCAACACCCAGAGCAGGCAGCTTACCTCCACCTATAACTCCAGTTCCAGGGATCCCACCCCCTCTTCTAGTCTTTGTAGGCACCTGCATTCATGTGCACAAACCCACATTCATACACCCATACACCTAAATAAAAATGATTTTTTTTAAGAAAAAAAGGTAGCTGAGCATGGTGGTGCACATAATATAATCCCAACACTTAAGAAGCTGAGGCAGAAGGATCTTGTGTTCAAGACCAGCCTGGGCTACATCCTAAAACTAAATCTCAAAAAATTCTCCCTCCCAAAAAACAAAGAGGAGGAGGACGGAGAAACAAAGGTTGGGTGAGATAGCCCATAGAATGTGTTTCCAGATACTTACGTGTAGAATTTTGGTTGTGGTTTCTGCATGAAGGAAAAAGAACTTGGTGCATGGCAGAACGGCAGAAATTAGAAGATGGTGGTTGGAACCTTAAAAGTGAAGAAATTTGGGGGCTAGAGAGATGATTCAGCAGTTAAGAGCACTGGTTATTCTTGCAGAGGACCCAGGATCAATTCCCAGCATCCACATGGAGGGTAACAGCCATCTATAACTCCAGTTCCAGGGGATCTGATGCCCTCTTCTGACCTCCTCAAGCATTGCATGATACAGGCGCACTTACATACATGCAGGCAATATACTCATACACATAAAATAAAAATAATAAATAAAATACTTTTTGGCCCTCTTCTGACCTCCTCAAGCATTGCATGATACGGGTGCACTTACACACATGCAAGCAATACACTCATACACATTAAATAAAAATAATAAATAAAATATTTTTTAGCCCTCTTCTGACCTCCTCAAGCATTGCATGATACGGGTGCACTTACACACATGCAAGCAATACACTCATACACATTAAATAAAAATAATAAATAAAATATTTTTTAAAGTGAGGAAGTTTTAATCTATAGGATTATGAGCTTAATGAAAGGAAAAAAATTCCTTTGTAGTTTGAATAGCAGCGCTTTAGAACAGTGCCACTCAAGCAGGCCTCTTTCTTTTCTTCTAGCTGGTGCCTATGTTGCACTGACCCTTCTGGGCTCATCACCTTCCTCTATTGGTGCTGGTGCCTCTGGGCTCCAGCAGGACCCATCTTTGGCAGGAGTGCCCCGAGTCACCCCCATGATTCCTCCACCACCACCTCCTCCACCCCTGCCATCTTCACAACACATCACGGAACCCAAACCTCTTCAGGTAATCGTTTTCCTACCTCTCCCTAATCACTCTGTGGTCCCTTTGAAGTTGTCACTTATTAAATTGAATAGGATTATGGTAAACACAAACAGACCCTAACACCACTAAAGAGATATGTAATCACCACTAAAAAGTTAAAAGTGAGGTCTCTGTAAAAGGATGTCCCATCCTTAGTGTCCTCATGATGTTTTATCATCAAACAGTACCTTGGATGTTTCTTAAACACATGAAAGACTCTCACAGAGGTCCTCTAAGAGCATTCCTTCTTCCTGAGGAGAACCCCTCACCCCAGTCATGGCCAGAAACACCTGTTAGAGATTGTTACCAGTTGGTGTTAGGAGGGTATGCTTTCATGTCAAGTCAAGGCTTCAGAGCAAAAGGGCATGATGGAATGCAGTCAGCAGAGAGTGAGAAAGGACAAAATTAGGTAGAGAGAGAGCTCTCTGAGTATGTAGGAAAGCCTAAGTGAGAGGGCAGGATATGTTTACAGAACAGGTTTTCTGGTTGGAAAGAAGACTGAGCCATCAGTTCTCTAGAGAAGTTCAAAAACAACTCAATGCCAAAGCTGACTATAGCCATGGTTTCTGAGAAGTTCAAGGGTAAAATCAAAATAAAATTTTTGTCTTTATTCATTCCATCATAGTGTTGCATTGTCCCAAATGCACTCTTGACTCAGCCTCTATTCTCACACCTTTCCTCACCCAGGAATCATTAGATACAAGCGTTAAGCTATTGAGCTAGTTCCCAAGTCTCAATACTGTTATTTTTCCATTCCTAGGATCCCGAAGTTCAAAAGCATGCCACCCAGATCCTCAGGAATATGTTGAAGCAGGAGGAAAAAGAGTTACAGGTGAGGGCACTGCTGAAGGTGGACTGGCCATTGATTTAATGAAATAATACTGTATCAAAGCAATCTGTCAGTGTGTACAACTTAATTTTATGGACCATCTTCAATCACAGTAAAACATCAGGGCCTATGGGTGTATAGCCCAGTGTTAGAATATATGCCTAGTGTACTTGAGGACCTTAGGTTCAATCTCTAGCAAGCAAACAAAAAAGTAAAACATCAGGACCACTAAAGAATTGTCAGTCGAGGAGCTGGAGAGATGGCTCTGTGGTTAAGGGCACTGACTGCTCTTGCAGAGGACCCTGGTTCGATTCCCAGCACCCACATGACAGCTAACAACCGTCTATTACTCTAGTTCCAGGGTAACGTTCCCTTCTGACCTCTGCAGGCATTGCATGACACAGGTGCACTTGTATAAGTTCGGGTAATACACTCATATACATAAAATAAAAATAATAAATAAAATATGTTTTTAAAAAAAAAAAAAAAGAATTGCCACTGGAGGTGAGGTAGTTCACATCTTTAATACCAGCACTAGGCAGAGGCAAGCAGATTTCTGTGAGATTGAGGCCAACTTGCTCTAGTGACTTCTAGATCAGGTTGGGACTACAGGGAGACCCTTTCTCAGAAAACAAAAGACAAAAAATTGCCACTGGCCAGTAGAATTTTCTAAAGCCTACTAATAGAATGAGTAGGACAACAATTTCATCGTTAATACTTAGGATAATGAATATGTAAACTAAATACAAATATGTAAGGGAACTAAGGAAAATCAGAGTCCATTGAAACTGCCCCTAGAGGTTTCCAAAGAAGAAAATGGCAAGAGGGATGGGAAAATGAATACTGGGCTGCACTGATAGTGATAGGAGCACAGTAGATACAGGGGATGAAGAGAGATTCAGTCTAGGCAGTGATGGGCACAGAGACCAAGAAGATTAATTTGGCTGGAATAGATCACTCTAAGTGCTTATTATATATAGAACATTGTTTTAGGTTCTGTATTATACAGAAATGGAAAAGATAGTTTTTGCTTCACTGTGCTTAAAATCTAATGGGAAAATTCAAATTCTAGTAAGAAAAAATAAGGAAGAACAGAGTTTGTAATAAAAGAATTTAAAAAAGCAATTGCAGTGGAATGTAAAAAAAAAAAAAAAAATGGCTTCCTAGTAGGAATATTTTGGTTGGACCTTAAGGAACTTCAGTAGACAAAAGAGGTAGGGAAGAAATATTAATGAAGAAACAATTTAGGTCAAAGGCACAGAGATGTGAAAACACATTTAACAAGCATTACATTCCTGGAGTGTGATAGGTACTTATTGGAGCAGGGGTAGAATGGGGGTGGTGGTAGGAGCAAGAGTTAGAGTGGTTACAAAGATAAATGAGAGGGGCACTTTTTCCTTAAGGAGTTACAGTAATACCCTAAGGCATGGTAGGATAAATGAAGATATGCTGCATTGTAAGTTGGTACTTAGATATTTACATTAGGTTATTAAGACACTTTGGTACAGTATAAGGCTAGACCTGTAGGTCAGTGGACTCAATCAGAGTTCCAAAATTAATCCATATGTTTCTTGGAATTTGTTTTCAAAAAAAGTACTAAGACAATTAGCATTGTCTTTTTAACAAATGGTTCTGGGTCGCCCGGCATGGTGGTGCATGCCTTTACTCCCAGCACTGGGGAGGCAGAGGCAGGCGGATCTCTGTGAGTTCGAGGCCAGCCTGGCCTACATAGTGAGTTCCAGGGCAGCTGGGGCTACAGAGAGACCCTGTCTAAAAAAAAAAAACAAAATGGTTCTGAGTCAACTGAGTATCTACAAACAAAGAATGAATTTGTACCCTTACTTTGCACAGTTAACAAAATTTAACTCAAAATGGATCAAAGACTTAAAAGTAAGAAGGAAAACTATTTTTGAAAACTATAAAACTTCAGCTCTTCTCTCTTGAGGAGCCTGTGCTGGTTTGAATGAGAAATGGTCCCCATATAGGCTCAAATATTTGAATACTTGGTCCCCAGTTGGTGGTGCTGTTTGAAAAGTCATGGAATCTTTCTTTTTTTTTTTTAATGTGTATCAGTGTATTGCCTGCATGTGTGTAAGTGCACTCATGTTGTGCAGTGCCCACAGAGGTCATAAGAGGATGTTGGATCCCCTGGAACTGGAGTTATGGATAGTTGTTAGCTGCCATGTGGGTGCTGGAAATCAAACCTGGGTCCTCTGCAAAAGCAGTCAGCACTCTTAACTGCTGAACCATCTCTCCAGCCCAAATCATGGAATCTTTTGGAGGTATGGCCTTGCTGGAGGAAATGTGTTACTGGAGGCTGGCTTTGAGAGTTCATAGGCTTGCCCTACTTCCAGTTTGCTCTCTCTGTTTCCTGTGTATGCTTAAAGATGTGAGCTCTCGGCTTCAGCTCCAGCCTCCTCCTATGACAGCCTCCCCCAACATTAGGGACTCCCCTTTGGAACTGAAAGCAAAAATAAATTCTTTCTTCCATAACTTCTTCCTGGTCATGATTTTCTATCACAGCAACAGAAAAAGTACCTGATACAGAACCTATACCCATAGTTGCATAGGTCTTTCTTCTTCCGAATGCCTCTTTTTTCTCTTAATCCTTGGTCTTAAGCCTATATTAAAATACCTTTAATACAGTGGGCATGGTGGCACACACCTTTAATCCCAGCACTCAGGAGGCAGAGGCAGGCAGATCTCCATGGGATAGAGGCCGGCCTGTTCCACATAGTGAGTTCTAGTTGGGCTGGGGCTATGGGAGATCCTGGGTTTTGTTTTTGTTTTTGTTTTTTTTAATTATTTATTTAATAACCATATAATTAGAAGAAGCATTTCATGACAACAGCATTGACATATTCAATAACAATTTCCAGAGCTAAGATGCATCTGTTTCAAGATTGGCTGTAAATTTTTAGGTTTACAGTTGAATTTATACAGTTATATACTATTGTACTCAGTAT